TGAGACTAACACCCCCCAATACAGAGACTGAGACTAACAAACTACACCCCCCAATACAGAGACTGAGACTAACAGACTAAGACCCTACACCCCCCAATACAGAAGAGTGAGGAGGCTAGTCTCTGTCCTCCCCATTATAGAACACTGTCCTCCACACTCTCCCTTCCCAGGTGACGGATCGCTGCAGACGCTGTACTCCGGGTGGCAGAATCCAGTGTTTCCTCGACATCCCGAGGTAAGTGATCCCCGTGTTTTACTGGCAGGGGGGGATCATCCCGAACCACACGCACAATCCACGTGTATAGTTCAGCGTTTCTCAACCCTTCTTTAGTCACAGCACCCTTTAACAGTATGCAAAATCTTGAGGGACCCCGGTCTAAAATGTCATCGATTTTAAGGGGGACCCCACGCAAAAACACTTTCACACGAGGAGCCCCCCTTTCACACGAGGAGCCCCTCTTTGACATCAGAGTTCTCTTTATACATCAGTAGCCCCCTTCAGTCTTCATTCCCCCTTGACATCCAGTCCCGCTACCACAACATTATGAGGCCAGGAGGCACAGCAGCATGCCCCATGGCACCCTGGATGAGACAGGCTGCTATACATAACAGATGGGTGGGGGTCTGTATATCACACAGTACTCAATGAGCCCGGACCTCCACCCTACTACACCTTGGGGATGAACTGGAACGCTGATGGTGAGCCAGAACTTCTCATCCAACATCAGTACCTGACCTCCCAAATGGGACAAATTCCCACAGAAACCCTCCGCGACTGATATAGCCGCCAAGGTGCGGGGGGGCGCGCGCAACTCCATTTTAATGGCCATGGTTTGGGAATGGGGTCACACAGGTGCCATGGTCTGGGGGTCTACAAACATTTGGACACGCAGCATATGACGATTACATGTACGAATCTCACTCATTGGTTCTGGCGGGTGGCCGGCCCTCTTTATGAAGCCGGTTTGATGTTTTTCTTGTGTCAGGTGGCGGTGGACATCAGTAAGGAACGTTCGGACTCTCTGGCTGTGAAGATTCACAACATTTTGTATCCGTATCGATTCACCAAGGACATGATCCTCAGCATGGAGGTACGCCGACCATACATAGGGGGGGACGCAGGGCGTGCTATGGGCCCTTGTGGCATCCTCCAAATGACTTCATGCCAACATTATCCTCGCACTAGTCCTGCCCAATCCAGCTTTACAAGGGAACCTGTACTAAGCCGGTGCCGCGGCAGCCGCGCATACGATGTCACTATACAAGTAAACCACTGACATCCGGACATATGAGCAGCTGAAGTTATATGTAGATCCTGTCCCGGCCTCCAGGGCCTCTTTCTAGGCATTATCATTGACTAATAGAGAGACATAAGAGGTGGGAGGGGCTAAGAGGGGATTTTACAGGAAAGTACTGACCCACTTTTGGATGATTTGTGACCGCTTTGCTTCGGCCGGTCAGAGATTTCAGTCACATGGTATCTTGAACTGGATGCTGATTGGTGTAAATGGAAGCTGGTGGAGAGTAACAGAAGTGCTCAGTGTTTGGCCAGAAACCCAAATGGGAGTATTGAGGACACAGAGCATGTCGTCAGTGTGAGAAGATGGTGGACTCTGATGTCATGCGACAGTTTATCGGATCTTCTTCTCTGCAGGTTCTGCAACAAGTGGACAATAAGTTCATTGCCTGTTTGGTTGACACGAAAACTGAAAGGATGGAAGAGTCAGGTGAGGTCCTGGGGCGGGCGAGTCAGTAAGGGCCCAGAAGGCAGCAGGGCCAGGTGAGGAACTAGGATCGGGCAGGGTGGGGGTCTGGGAACAGGAGAGTCAGGTGGGGGCCGTGGAAAGGGCAGGGCCAGGGGAGAGCCCTGGAAGGGGCAGGGCCAGGGGAGAGCCCTGGAAGGGGCAGGGCCAGGGGAGAGCCCGGGAAGGGGCAAGGCCAAGTGAGAGCCCGGGAAGGGGCAGAGCCAGGGGTGAGAACACGGGAAGGGGCAGGGCCAGGTGGGAGCTTTCCTTCTTCATGATGTCTCATGTGTCACCCAAGAAGGAGATGAGAATATTTGGGCTGTTTATAAGGGAGTGGGATGTAGACCACATGGCAGTTTTCTGCTAATAGAAGCGGGGGCCTAATAACACATTTGTCAGATATACCCAAAAAATCTTCTATTTTTGGGGACTCCAGCAGTCCCCGGCTCTGTCCCCACCCACTTTGGGGTGCTCCCACTTCGAGGGGAAGGGAGTTTACAGTAGACAATAATGGCGGCTCCCATGAGAAGTTTGATTCTGTTCTCGTCATTGTTACAGGTGGGAATCTCTTGGTTCTGGTGGATCAGCATGCGGCACACGAGCGGGTGCGTTTGGAGCAGCTGATTGCAGGTAATACTTATTGGGCCGCCCCCGTCCATATAATAGGGAGCAGCTCTGAGGCCTCTTTTATCATGCAGACTCCTATGAGCCATCATCAGAAGACGGTGGAAGGAGATTAAAGGTTTCCAGGGTGAGCCCCCCACTAGAGCTGGATGTGACAGAAGAACAGAGCCGGCTCCTCCGGTAAGTTGGGTTGTCCATCTCCCGCCACACACGGGATTCTCCAACTCACGGCGGCCTTGTTGTGCAGGATACGTGCCGGGGCGCTGCAGAGGGCCGGACTAACCCTTTCATTCCGTGACAACTGCCCGTCCCGGGTCCTGGTCAGCGAGATCCCCCAGTGCTTTGTGGAAAAGAAGGTCAGTGAAACACAGCAGAGGAGAGTGATGGTGGCCAGGAAGATGGTGGAGGTGAGTCCTGAGCGTGCGGGGAGGTGGAGGGCTCGCTGGGGGGGGGATTGTGTGCGGGCGACTTTCACCCATCAAATTCCTTTGTTTTCAGGAGTTTCTGCAGGAAGAGGTGCAGGTGAGTCTCCGGGACAGTGTGTGTGTGGAGGGGGTGATACAGTGTGTATGTGGGGAGCAGCATGGAAGGGGCAGGGCCAGGGGAGAGCCCTGGAAGGGGCAGGGCCAGGGGAGAGCCCTGGAAGGGGCAGGGCCAGGGGAGAGCCCTGGAAGGGGCAGGGCCAGGTGAGAGCCCTGGAAGGGGCAGGGCCAGGGGAGAGCCCGGGAAGGGGCAGGGCCAAATGAGAGCCCGGGAAGGGGCAGAGCCAGGGGTGAGAACACGGGAAGGGGCAGGGCCAGGTGGGAGCTTTCCTTCTTCATGATGTCTCATGTGTCACCCAAGAAGGAGATGAGAATATTTGGGCTGTTTATAAGGGAGTGGGATGTAGACCACATGGCAGTTTTCTGCTAATAGAAGCGGGGGCCTAATAACACATTTGTCAGATATACCCAAAAAATCTTCTATTTTTGGGGACTCCAGCAGTCCCCGGCTCTGTCCCCACCCACTTTGGGGTGCTCCCACTTCGAGGGGAAGGGAGTTTACAGTAGACAATAATGGCGGCTCCCATGAGAAGTTTGATTCTGTTCTCGTCATTGTTACAGGTGGGAATCTCTTGGTTCTGGTGGATCAGCATGCGGCACACGAGCGGGTGCGTTTGGAGCAGCTGATTGCAGGTAATACTTATTGGGCCGCCCCCGTCCATATAATAGGGAGCAGCTCTGAGGCCTCTTTTATCATGCAGACTCCTATGAGCCATCATCAGAAGACGGTGGAAGGAGATTAAAGGTTTCCAGGGTGAGCCCCCCACTAGAGCTGGATGTGACAGAAGAACAGAGCCGGCTCCTCCGGTAAGTTGGGTTGTCCATCTCCCGCCACACACGGGATTCTCCAACTCACGGCGGCCTTGTTGTGCAGGATACGTGCCGGGGCGCTGCAGAGGGCCGGACTAACCCTTTCATTCCGTGACAACTGCCCGTCCCGGGTCCTGGTCAGCGAGATCCCCCAGTGCTTTGTGGAAAAGAAGGTCAGTGAAACACAGCAGAGGAGAGTGATGGTGGCCAGGAAGATGGTGGAGGTGAGTCCTGAGCGTGCGGGGAGGTGGAGGGCTCGCTGGGGGGGGGATTGTGTGCGGGCGACTTTCACCCATCAAATTCCTTTGTTTTCAGGAGTTTCTGCAGGAAGAGGTGCAGGTGAGTCTCCGGGACAGTGTGTGTGTGGAGGGGGTGATACAGTGTGTATGTGGGGAGCAGCATTTTGTAAGGAGTGTGTGGCGTGTGTATGGGGGAGCAGCATGGTGTATGCATTGTGGTTTGCTGAGAGTGTATAGGGGAGCAGTGTGGTGTGCATGGGGAAGAGCACTGTGGTGTACGGCGTGAGGCAGTGCTGTGTAGGTAGGTTATCCCGTGCTGTGCTGGGGGGTGTAGGTAGGTTATCCCGTGCTGTGCTGGGGGGTGTAGGTAGGTTATCCCGTGCTGTGCTGGGGGGTG